ACACAAGTAGAGAAAGGAGGCTGATTCTGGAAAGTGCCAAGAGCTGAGTAGTCAAGTAAAATTCAGAGAAGATTAGATCATCGGATTTAGAATGACAGAGGCCACCAGAGACTGATTCTGAGCAATTTCATTCACATCGTGGGGGTGCATGGCCATGTGGGTAAAGAGTGTGTTCTTGAGAGGGAGGGCAGGGCCACAGCCACCAGAAATGAGGCTTCTAGAAGCTGAGTTGCTGACAAAAGCACAGAAATGGGAATCTCTTGAAGACAGATGTGAGTTATAGAGAGTGTTAAGATAGGGCAAACTACCGGGTTGGTGGCACATACCTGTGATCCCAGCTACTCAAGAGGTTGAAGCAGGAAGATCATAAATTCAAGGTCAGGGGTGCAACTGACCCAGACACTGTCTCAAAATTTAAACTAAAAATGTTGAAAAGGTCTGGAGATGTATTTCAGTGATGGAGTACCCCTGGGTTAGACACACAGACACACACACACACACACACACACACACACACACACACTGGAAAGAACTGAGGTCTATGAGTGTTAAGGGGAGTCTCAGGGAGGAGATCCAGCCACAGAGGGAGGCACCTGAGCAGAAGCGGAGGTCTGCATAGAACCTTGCCAGGGATACCTCCTTAGGTGCTGCATCTTGAGTACTGGTCCCAGGTCTGCTCAGTGCAGACTGATTCAGTGAAGGAAAAGGGATAGTCACAGTGACAGGTGAGAGGACAACTGCAGGTGGGGCTGACAGTTTGGTGGTGAAAGGCCACAGAGCCTGTCTTCAGGGTAGGCAGCAGTGACTTCTGAGAATGGAGAAGGGTAACTGGCCAGAGATTGGAAAAGGCCACAGAGCAGCTCTGTTTACCGAAACCCAGCAGGACTCCCATATGGGATATAGTTCTTTTCCTTGTTACTTCTAGTCCCGAAGATTTTTTTCTTACTTTAAAAATTCTCACCAGAGTTCCCTCCATGACTCATGTTAAAACATTTTTTCTCCCCAAATGACTGTGCTCCATCTACCAAAAAACATTTTGAGTTCAATCTATTGAAAGATAAGAAAACTATTATAATGGAAGATGGGCACCAGGCTCAGAAAGCAGAGTAATAAAAATATGGATGGCCATGTATAATTTTTTATAAAGTAAAATAGAGGAAAACTACATAAAGATTCACAGACTTTTTGGAGGTCCTAAAGTCTGCAAGTGTTAAAGAATTACAGTACTAACAAAAAGTCTGTAAAAATGAAAAAGAACTTGGAAAAAGGTGTCATTTTGTTTAAAATTCCTTTACATTGGAAGAGCTCAGACCTAATCTGACCTTAATCCATTTATGCTGGAGGTTGTAAATTTTTTAGTGCTTCCATGAAATTCATATGTTACCTAGAAAAATTCAAGGAACAAGAATTTGACAAGAAGATCTTTTATTACCTTCCATTGTTATGTGCTGTTCCAAAAATGGGACACTAGCATAAAAGATTAAAATTCAGTGTCTGATTTGATTCTTACAGTAGTGTTTCCTTTTCTGAGGAACATTTTAAAATTAATTTTTAACTGATGTAAAAAACACAAAATTGTACACATTAATGAGGTACCATATGACCATCTCATGCTTCAGTGCCTGTATATTTTGTGCAGTCAGGTTAAAGATATCTATCTCCTCAAACTTCTTTATGGTCAAAGTACTCTAGAATCCTTTTCTCCAGCTTTTTGAGATACATATTGCTACCTGTGAGTTACCCACCTGTGCAATAGCACGCCAGAATTTCTTACTCCTGTGTAAATGCACCTTAGTTCTCATTGGTTAACCTCTCCTCATCTCTCCTTCTTCCTACTTTCCATGTCTCTGGTACCCACCATTCTACTTTCAACTTTTGCAAAATGAACTTCTTGTATTCCATCTGAGTGAAAGAGATCATGTTGTACTTGTCTTTCTATGCCTGATTTGTTTCATTTAACATAATGATCTCTAGTTCCATCCATACTGTCACAAATAACAGGTTTTCATTTTTAACAGCTGAATAGTATTTCATTATGTATCACATTTTCTTTATGTAGTCAATGGGTTGTTTCCATTTCTTGGGTATCGCAAATAGTGCTTCAATATACATGGAGGTGCAGATATCTCTTTCCATGCTGGTTTTCCTTTGGATGTGTACCTAGGATTGGGATTGCTGGATCCTATGGACATTCTATTTTTAATTCTTTGAGGAATCCCTATATTGTTTTTATAATTGCTGTAATAATTTACCTTTCTATCAACAGTGTGCAAACACTCCTTCTTCTCCACTTCTTTGCCAATACTTATTATCTTTCACCTTTCTGATAATAACCATTGTTACTGGAGTGATGTGATAATGTCTTATGGTTTCTATTTGCATTTTTCTGATAAGTGATGTTAAGCATTTTTCACATATCTGTTGGCTATCTGGATGTACTCACTCAAGAAATACTGTATGTGTTTAAATCTATAAACTATATTTAAATCAGCTTTGGGTTTTTTGGGGGTTTTTTTTGGTTTTTTTTTTTGGTTTTTTTTTTTTTTTTTTTTTTGCTATTGAGTTTTGGGAGTTCCTAATGTATACTCTGTAAATATTTCCTCCCATTCTGTACGTTGTCTCTTCCCTCTGTTGACGGTTTCCTTTGTTGTATGCAAGCTTTCTACTTTGGTGTAATCCCATTTGTCCGTATTTGCTTTTGTTTCCTGTGCTTTTGGGATCTTGTCCAAAAAATCATTGTGCATTCCAATATCCTAAAGCATTTCCCTTATGATTTGTTCTAGTAGGTTCATTGTTTCATATCTTATATTTGAGTTAATTTTTGCACTTGATGAGAGAGAGAGGTCTAGTTTCATTCCTCTGTATGTGCATATGCAATTTCCCCACACTATTTACTAAAAAGACAGTCCTTTTTTTTCAGTGTGTGCTCTTAATGTCTTTGTAAAAAGTCAGCTGGTTGTAGATGTGTGACTTTCCTGCTCGGCTCTCTGTTGTGTTCCATTGGTCTGTGTATCTACTTACAAGTTATGCCAATACCATGTTGTCTCAATAACCTCAGCTTTTTAACAATTTTGCAGTTAATTGTGGATAAAATAAATCTTCCTCTCAAGTCATTGTGTTACTCCACTAAGACAAGTATCTTCTGTACTCAAAGCCTTGGGGAACCAAAACTCATCTCAAAAAAAACAACAGTTTTCCAGCCAGGCTCTTGTCAGCTGCCTGAAGGAAGGAAGGAAAAGCTAACTGAGCTGTTGTGGATTTATGCAGCTCCATCAAACCTGGTCACAACTCCTGTCTTCTCCCTCTGAGCTTACTGGGATCAGGGCAGAGCTGGACAGCTTCTGTGATGTTCCATCCTCACAAGGCACAATCTCATAAAAATTGTCTCTTGGAACCTGTCAAATCTCAGCAGTTAGTTAGGGAAAGCGTCTGAGATCTGGACCAACTCAGGAAGAACTTCTGTTATAGGAGGAAAGACAGTACTTCTACCTGATGACACCCAATTAAAACCTTAATGAGCATTTCTGAGTCATGTGTATGCAACCACATTTGCTGATGGCAAGACACTTCCTTCAAAAGGTAGTTGCTAAAGCACTTTTATATCTAGAGAGAACAGAGTATGTTTACAATTGTGAGGACATCTTGGAAACTGGTGAACTGAGAGGCAGGTGGCACTGGCTGCTGTTTTGACAGAAGCACTAGAGTGATCTCACCTGAGAAACTAGGGGAGCCACCCATCTGGAATGCTTCCCATCCCCTCTGCACTTGTCCCCGCAATGATGGGGAGGGGGTTCTGAAAAGTACCTGAGAGTCCCATAACAATCTTGCTCTGACAACAATTAGAAATAGCTGAGGAAGGAGGGACCTAGGACGGGGCTTACAGTCTGGCTTAAGAGCCCACCTCAATGAACCAATTCCAGGCATCTCTTTCCTGCCAATGGTTGTGAACTGTCTTGATTGAGTTCACCTATCACTTCCTACAGGATTCTACATGGAAAAGCCTATATCACAGTGGAGGGCTCCTCATTTCTTTCTGCCTTTTGTTCAATTGTCTCATAAATTTGTTGTTTCACATAATATTATGATTACAATCTGGAATACCCAAGGCTACACCACCAGTGAATGCCTGACCCACTTAATTCCAAAGTCTAGGCTCTTTCCTCAATCCAGTGGCTGCCCCAAACCCACTAGCCATACCCCCTCTGCCAAAAGTCAGAAATCATTGGATATTTCTTTTTTTAATGAACTGAAATTAATTTGCTGTGAAAATCCACAGACCCACAAAATAATGGTGAGGGAAGCACTGGGTTGTGAGTACGATTCCTGATCCCCCCCCCCCAAAAAAGCCTATCTTTAACACGGGGGTGAGTTTTGCAGGGATGGAGCCCATCTCTGTATCTCTGATTGTCAGGCCAGAATTGTTTCTGGGTTGCTAAAGTGGCCCACACTCAGAGTCCTGGACGCCAGAGCTCTACACACATACTGCAGCCAGGCAGCTTTCAGTCCCGGTCTTGGTCACTGCTCTTCGGATCCTCCCTGTGCTGCTTGCAGCCGGAGAAGCCAGGACATCAAGGGCAATTGCTTAACAGGGGAACTGTGGAAACCAGAGAAGGCCGGGTGCTGGGACCACAGGCAAACCTGGAGGACCACACCTGCAGCAACCCCGACCGCAGAAGGGAAAGATGGATGGGGTCTGGAGCAGCACAGAGATGTCCTAGCCTTCAGCCTGCCCGGACATACCCACAGGAAGAGTCTATCCCTCCTCCTGCACTCGTTTGCTACCCCGTTGGGTGGCAAAGGGGCCTCTGTGAGGATTTTGCCCCGGCCGGCAGGGGACTCCCTGGGGAAAGTAAGTGGGGGGCCTCACTCGATCGGATTCCCAAGCCAAACCATGGGAGCCTTGGGGGACAGCTGGAACAGCAGGGCCTAAGAGGCAGGAGGAAGCTGGGATTTGTGAGATTCCTGGGATCCAGGACCCCTGCAGCTAAGGCGAACAACGTCACTAGGACCTTAGACCTAAACCAGGGCTGCACGAGGAGGGGGAATTTCAGAGGTGCGCGTCACCAGGATAGGGTGGAAAGCTGACCCGGGGCGGGGGCGGGGCCGGGGACTTTGCCCCCAAAAGCTGGCAGCGGAGGAGGCTCTCTGCTGACAACCAAAGCTTGGTCCGAAGGCTTTAAAGGGCGAACGTGGGGCGGGGCTGATCGCACCTTTTACTGCAGGCTGCCTCGCGGATGGAGCACCGATGAGTTTCGGTACAGAGCCACCGGCCCAGGCCCCGGAGCGGCTGGACATGGCAGCGTACTGTGACGGCCTAGGCGCCTGCTCGGGCCCACACGGCCAGGCGCGGCCCGTCGCGCACTCACCAGGCTATGTGCGCGGGGACGTGGGCGCTGCAGGCTGTGGCCCGCGCCTGTGGATGAACGCGCCCGCGCTCAGCCCTGCGCCCTACGCGCCGGGCCCGCGGACCCCACCACCCTACGCGGCGCCTAGCTATGGGGCCCCGGGCCAGCTCCTGGGAGCAGCCGGCGGGCTGGCGGGCACGGACCTCGCGTGGCTGGCCCTCTCCGGCCAGCAGGAGTTGCTGAGGCTGGTGCGACCGCCCTACTCCTACTCGGCGCTCATCGCCATGGCCATCCAGAGTGCGCCCCTGCGAAAGCTGACACTCAGCCAAATCTACCAGTACGTGGCCGGCAACTTCCCTTTCTACAAGCGCAGCAAGGCGGGCTGGCAGAACTCCATTCGCCACAACCTGTCTCTCAACGACTGCTTCAAGAAGGTGCCCCGCGATGAGAACGACCCAGGTAATCGCTGAGGGCCCTCTTGCCGGTTCCAGGACTCCACGGTTTCCCCCGAGGGCACTTTAGGGTGTGACCGATCTTGGACAACACGGAGCCTCACTGCACAGTGGGGGCTGCGTAGGCGGGGAGCTGGGGGGCAGAGGCGCAGAAGGCAGTGGAAACCGCGGACCTTGATTTCCACTCCAGTTCTTTCAGGGGCTCTAAATTTATGCGCGCTCCTTTGGAGGAAAAAGCTGGAGAGCCCGCGGCTGGGTAACCTTGGGAGTTAACTCTCTGAGCCTCGGTGCACTTCCCTGTAAAATGGGGAAGACGTTCTCTCCCCGGGGCTTGAATTTAGCGGACCTCCGCAGGAATCCCTGCGTCGGTCCTTCTGGAAAGTCCAAATTCGTCCATTCTCGGAGGCCCACCCCGGAGACAAAGCGCCACCTCAGGATTTGGGATGGGAATGGGGGTTCTTGACAGTCTGGAGGTGCAGGTTAGGGATAGACCTGCACCACACTGTGGTTTGCCGATGCCAGGCTTTCTGAACCGGGCACCTGGTTCTTTCTCTGCAGGTAAAGGCAATTACTGGACCCTGGACCCCAACTGCGAGAAGATGTTTGACAACGGGAACTTCCGAAGGAAGAGAAAGCGAAAAGGGGAGGCAAGCACGGTCTTGCCTCCAGAAGCCCAAAGCCCAGGGGGAGCGAAGACACCGGCCCTGGAGCCCCCGGGTACGGCCTCCCCAGACCTGCAGGCCTCGCCGTCCTCGCCCGCACCCGAGGCTGCCGCCTGCTTTTCCAGCTTTTCCTCGGCCATGGGGTCCCTGGCTGGCGGCCTTGGCAACTTCTCTGGGAGCCTGGTGCGCGACTTTTCTTTCGGGAGGCCAACGACGGTCGCGGCTCTCAGCCCCCAGACTCCCTGCTCCGCGCCCAGCTTCGCCCCTGGCCACCAGACGGGGGCCACCAGCTTTCGCGTCAGTCATTTTGTCTACAGCCTGGAAGGAACAGAAGTTTGAAAGAGGCTAGCCAGGGCGCTGGACGCAAAAGTGCTGAGCGCAGGCCCCCAGATTCTGCCTGGTGACAGCCGCTCGCGTGGGTTGGAATCACAGCCATTGGTGCCGCGGGAGGGAGCGCACAGCCCTGCCTTTGGGTCATACGGAGCTGCGCTGAGTGACAGCTCCGCTGCTGGCTTGCTGTGAACCTGCTCCAACCCTAGATCCGGTCCATCTGGACTTTCCAGCCTGCACTCTGGAGGGCTCCTCTGTAAAGGGCTTATGGATGGAAGGTGTTCAGCTCCATTCCCATTTGTACTTACTGAGACGGTATCTTTGTGACAAGCAAGAAGCCCCCAGTCATTGGGGAGATGAATTTTGGTCTCTGTACTTCCCAAAGGTATTGGGAGCCCCAGTCTGTTAACTTGGGTCTTTATGGCATCTGGCACTGTCTGGAACTGTGGGCCCTGGGGAAGAGGGTCTGCCCAGGCAGAAGCACCTGCCCCGCAAGTGAGCAGAGAGAGAGGATGCCTTTAATTTGGAGTGAGCCTTTTGTGAGCCTATCTGCTTCCACCCAGTGGTGTCTGTTTTCCTTGGCTGATCACAAATCTGCCCACTGGGTCCATCGCTGCCACTCCTGTTGGAAATGAGCACAGGGCTACTGTGTGAGACCTAGCAGTGGTTCTGATGAAGAGTGTGTGGCAGGCGGACTGGGAAACTTGGGTAGATCAAGCCAGGAATTTTAGTGAATTGAACCCTGATCACAGAACACTGTGCTGGTGGTTTTGGACCTCATGATGCTGCCTAGCCAAATTTATAACCAACCCATAATCTCTCTCCAAACGCAATGAATTTGAAAGGTCCACTAAAGAAGAAATTGCTTAGCTTATAAATAAAATAATTTTGTCTTTTGAACCTACTTTTAATGGAGTAAATCGCTAAAATGGTGCACCCATATGTGTAGCTGTAACAATCACTACGATTACCAGCATCCCTAGTTTAGATCCTGCCTTGTTAAGAAAGTTGGAAATAATTTTTTAATTAAATTTGATAACAGTGGGAAATTTGACAATCAGTAGAGCTTTCACAAAATTGGTTGATAAGATATATACATATATATGCTGCATAAGTGCTAGAATTTGATGTTCTTTTTCTCCTAACAATAGATATATTATTGAAATTGAGGGAGAGCACTTTTGAAAAAATCGTTCAACTTTTGCTTTCCCTAAAAATCAGTTGTTGATGTTTAAAGATTGTTCAGCCATTCAAAGATTTCTAGAACTAATAACTAATGGTACATGAAACAGATGAAATCTTTGTGAGGAAGCATAATTGAAAATAATCCCAGTGGTGCAGGGTATTTGGAAAATGATGGAACCAGATTACAAACAGAATCCAGCCCTCTTCTATAAGTCCATATGTCTGAATATATATTCTGGGCTGGGTCCTGTACCGAAATGCGTTTTGTGGGCCCTGATACAGTCAACTTCCGATTCAGTGTGCCAATAAAGTATTTTTCTGAAGGGAAAAAAATACTGATAGTAAAATCAGTAAGCAGAGCAGGGTAGCTTGTACTCACTGTATAGTTAAGTGTATTTTCTTTTGGCCAGGACTCTGTGAGTTCCAGCTAGTCCCTGAAATAGGCTGCATGTGGGCAATGTCATGTGGCTGTGCCAGGGCACAACTGCCAAGAGACCAGAAGGATGCTGTCACCTTGTCACCTTTGAACTTGGGCAACTTTGTGGCCCTCCGACCTCAGTCTTCTCTTACTCTCCTTTGTTACCTCTGAAATTCAGGCTAGAATATTCCAATTTTGTTTTAAGACAACTATGAGTCTTTTCCCAAAAAAAGCACTACTGAATATGCTACGGGCACATGACAGTACACTGTTGGGACAGGTTCTTAGTAGGAGTAAACAACACTGTGAAGTTGGATTGTTTCAGATACAGAAACAAGTTTCAGAATTGAGAGGGAAAAGGTAATTTAAAATGCCCAGATGTGGATTGCTAACAATTCTTCCCATTGTCAAACAATAGCATTAATTTAAAAATCAAAGAACATAATAATAAAGTAAGCTGTAGTGTCTTTAATCCAATTGATCTTGACTGAACAAGACTCCCTCTGCAAGAAGAGCCATTCCCAATAAAAGCTCACAATTCCTTAAAAATTTTGAGAAAGTACAGTAGTATTTTTAAAAGAGAGAAACCTGGGTTTCAAACTATGAGGTTATATTCCATGTGTTGAGTAGACATTAAATGTGTTTGTTTATGAGGAACATAAACTTCTGTATTTTAACAATGCTGCCTTGGATATTAATCAGTTTTCAGTCTTTAATTTCTTCAATTGTATCCAGGGCAGTGAAGTGCCATTTGTCATTAAGGGATACAGACTGCAGTGATTACTATAACTCTTTAGTGAAACAGGAAAATACATTCATGCCCATTTTGTTTTTATTTTTATTTTTTTTAGTCTTTTTGAGACAGAGTCTCACTATGCAGTTCAGGCTGGCCTTGAGCTCACTTTGTAGCCCAGGCTGGCCTCGAACTCACAACGATCTTCCTGTCTCAGCCTCCCAAGTGCTGGGATTACAGGCATGCACCACCACACCCAGCTGTTCATGCCCATTTTGCAGGCAGAAAACCTGAGTTGATGGCTTAGTGGTCTACAGAAGTACAAAATCTTCTGGTACCAATGCAGACTTTATGCAGTCATATTCAGAAATGCATCTGTATGCATCATGCACACATGTCACATACCCCTGTCCTGACCAGAATCCTTAAGGGAAAAATCATGGATGACAGCGTCTATCCTACAGACTATGTCAGTATCCTAAGACAGAGTATTTTCATATGATACTCTGAGAATATCACATTTATATTCAGGATTTTACTGGGTGGGAAAAGAACATGTGAAAAACATCCTACTATGCAATAGAGGTGAGTCCTGTATAACCTAATAAAAAGTAACTCATTCAATAAATCTATATAGAGTTCCAACTGTGAACCTAGCTTTTTAAGTCCTACAGCGATTAACTTGGGTCCATTTCTGCCCTCAGACTTTCCTTAAGCAGGACAAAGACAAATGAACTATCACAAACTAAATAGTGGCTATTTGGCTCAAAAAGCTGACTTTATGATCAAGTGGATAAACCATTTCATTGTGAGCACACAACTCCAAGTACAGAATTGTGTGACTTTTGTCTATTGGTTTGCTTATTTATTTTTCAGGGGTGCGCTACTGAAATATTCCCAGCCCTCTTCATTTTTTTTGAGACAAAATCTCACCAGTTTGCCCAAGCAAGACTTGAGCTTTTGATCAAGTCTCCTGTCTCAGCTTTACAAAGTACTGGGATTATAGGCATGGGTCACCACACCCAGCTCAGATTCTCTTAAATACACCTTGCTGTGTTCTCCATAGTCTGCTGGTTCAGAATGTGTTTGATTTCTCAGTTTCACAACTACATTGTGATTTAGGTGGCGACTTGAGCACTGCTGCGGCTGCAGCAGGTCTGATCTGCTCAGTCCTGCACAGCAACCTTTAGGCACCTTAACTTAAAACTTCTCCTTTTATCAGAAGATCTGTCATCAGGTGGTGACAGGAAATAGCAGCTAAAGTGACCAGAGCTGGCTTTTCTCCAGGTCTCCTAGGTCTGATTCCTTTGGTGTATCCCTGCATCCATGATTGAAGTTTTAGGAAATCTTTTAATCTGCCAAACAGCAATATTCAAGGCTAACTGTCTGATGCTTGCAATAAACTAGTTTCTTTGGGCAGCTTTCATCAGTGGCTGAACACAAAGAATTGGAAATGTGTTTAATTTCTCTCAATTCACAGAGGGAAAAAGAATAGTGTATTAAATTGGACCTTTACAAAAAATTCAGAATTGTATTGCTGCTTTAATCCAGAGCAAATCAAACCTATCAATTGCCAGGGCTGTCTCTACTCCCAAGAGTCAAGGGTTACCCATTCATTGATCTGACGTGCTGACCATCACATCAAGAACCTTGTTAGGATAAAGGGGCCAAACAAATGCACTGGAAGAACGATAGCCTCTTTAATAAATGGTGCTGGAAAAATTGGCTTGCCACCTGCCAAAGACTGAAAATAGACCCAAGCCTATCACCATGCACCAAACTCAAGTCAAAATAGTTCACAGATCTCAATATTAAAACGGAAACATCAAACCTATTGGAAGAGAAAGTAGGTAAAAACCTTGAAGACATAGGGGTGGGCAGAGAGTTCATGAACAAAAACCAGAGTGCACATGAAACACTTCAAAGAATCAACAACTGGGACCTCATTCTACTGAAAAGTTTCTGCACATCTAAAGAAATCACCAGCAGAGTAAAAAGAAAACCCACAAACTTGGAAAAAATTTTAGCTGACTGTCCCTCAAAGGGCTTCTATCTAGAACATATAAAAAATTAAAAAATATCAGCCCCCCCAAATTCAAAGACTCAATCCAAAAATGGGCAGCTGAGATGAATACATACTTTTCAGATAATGAAATACAAATGGCAAATAAATACATGAGAAAATGTTCAACATCACTAACCATTCAAGAAATGCAAATTAAAACAACACTGAGATTCCACCTTACCCCAGTAAGAATGGCTAGCATTAAGAAATCAACCAATAAAAATGCTGGCGAGGCTGTGGAGAAATAGGAACCTTTCTCCACTGCTGGTGGGAATGCAGAGTGGTGAAACCACTGTAGAAATCAGTTTGGAGATTCCTCAGAAAACTAGGTCTAGAGGTCCCATTCAACCCAGCTATTCCCCTTCTGGGTATTTTCCCAGAAGATCTAAAAACATCATATCACAGTGATATATGTGCACCTATGTTCATAGCAGCACAATTTGTAATTGCTAAATTGTGGAAGCAACCCAAATGTCCATCCACTGAAGATTGGATAAAAAAAATTGTGGTATTTTTATATAATGTAATATTACTCAGCTATAAGGAAAGATAAATTGGAGGGCTTTATAGGTAAATGGTCACAAGTAGAGACCATACTCCTAAGTGAAATAAATCAGACCTGTATGTGCAAGCACCGCATTGTTTCACTAGTGTAAAACCTGAAAGAATTAATTTAAACTCAGAGGTATGGTAGATATTGTGAAATGATAGGAAAACACTCAAGAGTAAAGGGCAACTGGGATGTGGGAAAAGAGAAGGGAAAGAAGGAGAAATTTTGTATGTATGTATATACAGGATAGTTAACATGGCTGTTCTACTGTCTTCTATTTCTTTGCTGAAAGAAACTGTCAGTGAGTCCTTGGTTGATCAATATTGCATGTCTCTATCTGTTTTCATGAGAAACCACTTTGAAGATATCAATATGTAATACAACAAGCATTGTTAATTTCCTACCACTTTGTTTGTAACTCTGTATTGTCTGTACTCTTGCTATTTTGTAAAATGTTGTCTGTTAATGTTTTCCTCCTTTTATTTTTAAAATTTGAAAGAAGAACCTTGTTAGGACTAGGGGGTGTAACTCAGTAGTACAGTACTTGCCTAGCATGTACAAGGTCCTGGGTTCAATCTCCAGAATATTAAAAAAAAATCTATTACATATTTAATGTATATTATTTCATTAAGCTTTCACAACCCACTAATGCAAGTATTATTATCCCCATTTTACTGATGCAGCAATTGAGGTTTAGATCAGTGCAGTGACTTGTTTATAAAAGGCCACAGATACTGTGCCAAGACTGCAGGAGCCTGTCTACCCCTCCACCCCCCCCCCAACTTCCCTATGTCCCACTTAATCCTTCAGGTCCAGAGAGACCTCATTTTCCCAGGAATCTTTCCTTAATAGTCCAAGTCCAAGTATGTGCCCCTTTGGTGTGCTCCTGCACCTGCTGGGCATGCTCCAATACTCCCCAGAAAGCAAAGCATTTCCTGCATATACTCTCAATGCATGTAGGATGGTGTCACTTCTCTTATGTTTTGGTAACACCCCCAGTGCCAGGCAGTAGAGATAGATAGCAGCAGTTGAATGAATGCATGAGTGAATGAATGAATGAGTGAAAGCATGTGTAAGAACCCTTGGATCAGCTCAGGCGTGTTTCACTCGGAACACAAAAGCAGTTGTAATGATTGAAAATCATGTCACAGAGAACCTCGGCTGACACTAGTCCTACCTTGATGACTGGTGTACCACCATCTGAGGCATGTTTCAGACTACCCTTCCTCTCCACCCCTGTGTGCAGGCAGAATGAGGCTATGCTCCCAATCAGGCAGGAATGAGACAAGAAGAGCAGTTGGTCATGCTTCTGCTCCTTCCACAAGGTCTTGGCTCAATCAGACTAAAAGTTGGGAGATACATTAAATGTATGTCCAACTGGTAATTTTTACTGAAGTGCTGAGGAGCCTGCTTGTCTCTGGGCCCCTAATAGTTCCCGCAATCCATCATCTGTCTGCAGGCCCTCACCTCTGCACGCATCAGTGGCTGAGATCCGCCTCGGGCATCCATTAACTTCAGCACCTGAGCTAACCCACACCTGACTTAAACGTCTAACCCTCACTCTGCAGGGCTGAGACCACTTTATCCTTTATCCTAAGGGCAGGGCAGGTTGGGGACGATGCATTTCTGGAAAGAGCAGAATTAATACTTTAATGAAAGGTTTCTGTTTCAGGGTTCTTGAAAACTGTGCAGCTTCGTTCTTTGTCTTCCTTTTGTAATCTTGAGTGGGAAAAGACCTCCTTGTTGCTTTATGTACATTGTATTCTTTGCTTTCTTGTTTTTATTTTTTGTTAAAAATAATACATTGCATTATGTATTTTAATTGCAGAAAATGAAAAAGCAATTTGGCATGTTATTTTAACAGTGCAACACATAAAGAAATCATAAGGGAAATAAAGAAGGAAAACTTTTAAAGAATCATCTGTTACACAAATTTTAAAAGATTAATCGCCCCATACTTTTTTCTCATCCACTATTGATGTAAGTTTTTTTTCTATAATGCCCTGGTTGATTTATCTCATCCATGAGCAAAATGTGAAGATCATAAGAAATATAATAACCAAGTACAGTAATCCTTCTTTCTTTTACTAATGAGACAGTTTCTTCATGATTGGTCAGCATATTTTCATTTTGAAACTTTGTATGTGTAAGTCTCTTTGTTTACATAACCCATATCTGTGCATTCATCACAGAAACATAATAAAAATGAGACTTATAACAGGAAAGAGCCATGTTTTTCAGGTAGCTAGTAAGATGAATGTTTCCACATTCTGACCTGTTGAGAGGGACCCCACTTTTGAGCTCAGATTTCACAGGGGCTCATTCATACAACAATCCGAAAGTTCCCTTGATGGCCTAATGGGGTATCTGCAATAAAACAGACATTTAGCAAAACCAAGTGTAGAATGATGAACTGTTGCTGATATGGAAGAGATGTCACATACCATTCACCATCCAGCAGAACAGT